AAGAGGCATTTTAGTCAGAAAATCATTCAAATGGAAAATGTTCAACTAGCTCTGTTTGGCATGTCTTCAATCACACATAATTATTGACAATATTTGAAAACAATGAGGCCTATGCAAATTGACGTCTCATTTTTATTCTAACAACATTCCATACAGACATCTGTCAAGTGGTGGTAAATTGGTTTTAAAAAGGGATTTAAAATAAAATCTGTTTTCTGCGAAATGGGTGTCCTCAAATCAATAGCACTAGGGTTGTGACTCCATGTATCCTCACCACCACAGATATGCACATTTTTATCCAAGTTCCATAGAGAACAGGCCCCTTGAATTTCACCTATGTCATTTATTCCCGGCACATAAGATCTGGCACTATCAAGAGGCCTACATACAGTTTTTTCTCCTGCTCTGCACTGTCCCTTTAATAGGGATTCATGCTGTTCAAAGACCTTCAATTTTGCTAGAACCAGTAGCTCCCACAAAATCTTTGTGTACACTCATCATCTCTGAAGTACTTAGAGGAGGGGAAAGTGATCAGGAACAGTCGGCATGGATTCACCAAGGGCAAGTCATGCCTGACTAATCTAATCGTCTTCTATGACGAGATAACTAGCTCTGTGGATGAGGGGAAGGCAGTGGACATGTTGTTCCTTGACTTTAGCAAAGCTTTTGACACGGTCTCCCACAGTATTCTTACCAGCAAGTTAAAGTAGTATGGGCTGGAGGAATGGACTATAAGGTGGATAGAAAGTTGGCTAGATTGTCGGACTCAATGCATAGTGATCAATGGCTCAATGTGTAGTTGGCAGCTGGTATCAAGTGGAGTGCCCCAAGGGTCGGTCCTGGGGCCGGTTTTGTTCAATGTCTTCATAAATGATCTGGAAGATGCTGTGGATTGCACCCTCAGCAAGTTTGCAGATGACACTAAACTGGGAGGAGAGGTAGATACGCTGGAGGGATACAGAGAGTCCTAGACAAATTAGAGGATTGGGCCAAAAGAAATCTGATGCGGTTCAACAAGGACAAGTGCAGAGTCCTGCACTTAGGATGGAAGAATCCCATGCACCGCTACAGACTAGGGACCGAATGGCTCGGCAGCAGTTCTGCAGAAAAGGACCTAGGGGTGACAGTGGACGAGAAGCTGGATATGAGTCAACAGTGTGCCTACTTTCCAAGAAGGCCAATGGCATTTTGGGATATATAAGTAGGGGCATTGCCAGCAGATCGATTGACGTGATCGTTCCCTTCTATTCGACATTGGTGAGGCCTCATCTGGAGTACTGTGTCCAGTTTTGGGCCCCACACTACAAGAAGGATATGGATAAATTAGAGAGAGTCCAGCAAAGGGCAACAAAAATGATTAGGGGACTGGAACACATGAGATATGAGGAGAGGCTGAGGGAAGTGGGATTGTTTAGTCTGCGGAAGAGAAGAATGAGGGGGATTTGATAGCTGCTTTCAACTACCTGAAAGGGGGTTCCAAAGAGGATGGATCTAGACTGTTCAGTGGTAGCTGATGACAGAACAAGGAGTAATGGTCTCAAGTTGCAGTGGGGGGGGGGGGTAGGTTGGATATTAGGAAAAAGTTTTTCCTTAGGAGGGTGGTGAAACACTGGAATGCATTACCTAGGGAGGTGGTGGGATCTCCTTCCTTAGAAGTTTTTAAGGTCAGGCTTGACAAAGCCCTGGCTGGGATGATTTAGTTGGGGATTGGTCCTGCTTTGAGCAGGGGGTTGGACTAGATGACCTCCTGAGGTCCCTTCCAACCCTGATATTCTATGATTCCCTACCTTGAAATAATGAAATTTTGGAATTCTGTTGCCTCAGGATGTACATGTTGGAAAATACAGAGGGTCCTGTGTACAGCTACAAAAATCTGAACGCATCGATAAACTCAGCAAACCTTTGGGCTTTGAAAAAGTCACCTGAATCTAAACTACTAAATCTCCACTGTATTCAGATACTGCAATCATATCTATTCCTACCTCGACAGAGAAAAGTGTCTGAAGACAGATTCTTCTAGGTAGATATTACACAGCATTGACAGCTGTCCCACGTCAATCTCTCAATAGAGAGGGACAACTCGCAACTGTCCAGTTTACCGTTAAGGTACTGGACCCTTGCATAGTACTAACTGGCATTGTAAAGATATTTGTAGAGAAACTATATTGCTTAGATATTTATGGCAACAATTTACGCTCTATTTCAGAGTACATGATATATGACATTACACTCTTGTGGTCTTTGAAGTGAGCCTGCTTTGTTTAGTAGTTAGGAACTGGCACTATACAGCACTCATTGGTGAGAGGCTAGATGATGGCATTCAGTTTATAGTTTCTCTGCCAAGAACATGTCAACGTACAAAGATGCTATACAGCATAATATCTGTGATATGAAAATAAGATGTGTTGATAAAAGATGTCGTACACATTTTACCCTGACTCCTTTAAATGTCATTGAAAATAGTTGCCCTACTGGTGTGCCTAGGATCAGTCCAGTTCTGCACCAGTGTAGTAAAGTTTGCTAACAGTTTGCTGAACTGGGTGAAGACCAGTGGGGCATCCATTTTTCACACAGTTTTGGGGAGGGAGAAGAGAGGTGCTTGGCATGGTTTTCTTAGTGAAGACAGAGAGAGTTGCAGGAATAATGAGGGAGCCATTTGCTTCTCAGTTATCACCAAAATGCAATTTAGTAAGCACTTTAATTCACAGTGTATGTTTTCTATTAGTTTGCTCCATATTTCATTATGAGTAGAGACTGTAAAAATCAGCAGGCTATTATGGCGGGGGGGAATCCTGTGTAGGTTTTCCCAAATGTGGAACTTCTCACCTAGGTGCTGGCTTTCCTTGGCCTTTCTCCATTTTAGTATTAATGGAGGCATTTGAACATAAGGACACCACCACTTTTTTAAATAAGAATCCCAGTAGCAGCCAAGCACTAGTAGCCCTCAACATTGTGCCTGTGTTCTAGCTCAATTGTCTCAATTACTTGAATAATCAAGAAGCTAAGAGCATTGGTTTCTCTTTGTCTTGCAGGAGACAAGAAGCTCTGTCTTGTCATTTGAGCAGCTCCTATTTACTTTAACGGTTAAACATTTCTTAAAAAACAAAATGCTAAATTCTCGGGCAATTAACAGTTCAGGGATCCTTCCTGTTGCTCGCTGCTTTTAATTCTTCTTCATCTTGTGTTCATCCCGTCTGGTTTGTACCGCCCACCCAATTTTAACATTACCTCCTACAATTTGCAAAAATTCTTATCCACAAAAATCAGGTTAACAAATTACTAGAGTATCAAATCTCATTTATTAAAAAAAACCCATTTCAAACAACCTCTTAGTAATTATGAATATACTTTTGCAAATTTTAGGCAATGTAACTCTGGGATGAGAGTGAGTGAAGGTTTAAGAACTGGGAAAATTGAATTGTCTGGGTCTCTAACTGTTCATTTGCAGATTTTTCATCTTAAAGCATTAATGCTTTTTTTTTTCTTTAAATAAAATGTGTACATTGTACAGTCAGTTCAAGCAATCAAACCTTTTGGGATCCAGCTGAATTAAAGGCACTGTAGACATTCAAGGCTATTATCGCTATCGCTTGTGGAAATCCTACCACGTAAAATTTCCTGCTGAAGAACAATAAAAAATTGTTTCAGCATGCTCCCAAGTTTGAATATTTTCTTAATTGACAATGTTTCGGTATTGGATGCTAAATGCTTCAGTAATCATAGCTGCTTTTCAGTCTGGGTCAATTACTTTTTGCTGAGAGAGCACCTTTCATTCAAGAATCTTGAAGCATTTCCCAGAGGTGAGAAGACCCATTTTACAACTGGGAAATGAAGGCAAAATGACTTTCAGTAGTGGAACTGGCTGGTTTCAGATGACATTTATTACTGATGTATATTAAGCCACTTCTGGCCTCATCCATAAGACAGCTTGAAGGTTTGCTTTTGAGGTAGAGTTCAGTCACATTTAACCAATGGTTATTTTGGAGGGACATGGTAGCTTTTCTGGCCAGGTTTTCTTTCAGTCATTCCTTTTCCATTGAATAGGGGTAGTGTGTCTTGTAAGGGATTTGTATTGGAGGTGTTGCTTCTAGGGCGCATATAAAAGGTCTTTCTGTTTGTATCATTCATAAGTGGTGGCTGCTGGAATTATTGTAATTGGTCTTTTCCATATCTGTCTTCTGTGATTCTGTTTAGTTTGACTTTTTGACATGGTTTACTTTTGGGACTTCTCTTGCAGTCTGATGTACCAAGAAGGTAGTCAGAATATGTAAAAGTAGGCCATTCAAAAGTAGGTAGTAGCAAATGTGCTTCTAGGCAGAGAGGAGGAACACTATTTTCATTTAATGTCTACTTTAGTGTTAGCTAAGTGTTTGTCATTGTGTGAGATCTAAATGCTGTCCCTGCCGCAAAGAGCTTGCATTATAAATAGGCTTGGCAAAATTCAATTTTTTAAAATTTCAAGAGATATTGATGTTTGGTTTTAAGCATTTTGATTATTGATTTAAATTTTCACAGTTGCAGGAAATTATGGTGGGGGTCAGACAATTGTTTAACAGTAGATGTTGAGATTCAAAAGGTTAAAACTTTATAACAGTTGAAACACAAATGATCAACACCACATTTCAAAATATACAAAGCAAATATGCTTAAATCAAACTCTAAGTACTCAAGCAGCATTTTTCTTTCTTTGCCTATCTGTAAATTTTTATTATTGATGAAAATATATTTGTCAGTTTGTGTACGGGGAAATTGACATTTAGGACACCTAGAGATAAAAATATCCTTCCAAGCCTAATTATAAAATGGATAAGAAAAGACTTGGAGATTTAGATGATGGTGTTAGCTTAGTTAACATGCCTAATACACCTTCAAGAGGAAGTGCATCCTTTGTAGTAAGTTTTTCTGGTAATTTTGGAAGGAATCCAGCATTTGTTTCTAGTGTTTTTGTTACCTTGCGTTTGCCAGTCATGTTTATACTTGTTTCCTATTTTCCATTTCAGGGTTTTGTCTAGCCATTAAGAGCCATGTCTGATAACGGAGAAATGGAAGATAAGCCACCAGCCCCTCCCGTTCGAATGAGCAGTACTATCTTCAGTTCAGGGGGCAAAGACCAGTTGTCTACCAACCACAGCTTGAAACCTCTGCCGTCTGTACCAGAAGAGAGAAAACCTAGGAACAAAATCATCTCCATCTTCTCTGGCACTGAGAAAGGTAAGATACCTCAGAGCAGACAAAACCATCTTCCATGAGTAGTGGATACGTTTCTCCTTGCTCTTTCATTTGGCTGTGCAAGTGTTGCAAACACACACTAATCTTCATATCATGGACTTGAGTATCAGATCTCATTATTCTAGTCTTTCCAACTGCAGATGGTATCTCCTTTAAGGAAGTGCTAATGTCCAGAACACACGTTTGATTTGGCTAAGAGGAAACTTTCCTTTGCATCTCGAGGCCCTTGAACGTGGAGTGTTGCAGGGAGAAACACTAAAACTAAGTTGGTAGATGGTAGAAAACCCCTCCAAAATAAAATTCCATTCTACCATCTTAAATCACCCTTCAAAAAACTCCTTTTACCCTCTGTTCCCCTTACTTTTCATAGTGTCTGCTTTTTGTCTCTAGTCCTACACTTGGGTTATAAGCCCTTTATGTTACGTGCATGTATAGTGCAGTGGGTTCCTGATCCTTGGTCTCCTTTTGGAGCCTCTGTGTGCCATTGCAATGCAAATAAATAACGAACTAGCCTTTCCTCTTCCACATGCACCCCATTTATAAAATTGTATTTGATCAAGATCTTCCCAAAGCCTAATAAGTTACAGCCCTGGAAGCTTGTTTTAGCCTTAACTTAAATTTCCCCGCATTTCAGAACTGTAGGGAAAAAAATTAAAATCACAAAATTAATTTGCTAACAGGATATATACCAAGTAAATCCTGACACAGTGTAATCTGAGTCTCCTTTAGACATAATATGTTGCTGAACCTTTTAGAATTGAATTGATTTTTTTGCATGGGTATTCTCCTTAGGAGATTACTATATCTGCTAAGCATGTGTTTAAAAATACTAAAGTATGTACAAATATCTGAGAATTAGAAATCCTCACTGTAGAGAAGCAAATATTTAGACATTAAAATAGAGCTATTTTAAATGTATTGCCATCAGTGTGGTTGGATTTTGTGAGTGAGGGACTAGAGCAGAGGTGGGCAAACTATGGCCCGTGGGCCACATCCGGCCCGCGGGACTGTCCTGCCTGGCCCCTGAGCTCCTGGCTGGGGAGGCTAGCCCCCAGCCTCTCCCCTGCTGTCTCCCCTCCCCTGCAGCCTCAGTGTGCCACGCTACCAGTGCTGTGGCCCACCGCTCCTGCCGGGCGGTGTGGTTGGCTGTGGCTCCTGCTGCTCTGAGCAGTATGGGGGGGGCCGCAGGAGGCCCCCGCGGGGGCAGTCAGGGGACAGGAAGCAAGGGGGCTTGGATAGGCATGGGAATCCTGGTGGGGCTGTCAGGGAGTGTGGATAGGGGTTGGGGCAATCAGGGCACGGGGGGGTGGGGGGGTGTTGGATAGGGGTTGGGGTCCCGGCGGGTGGTTAGGGCCAGGGGTCCTGGGAGGGGGCGGTCAGGGGACAAGGAGCAGGGCGGGGGTTGAGAGTTTTGAGGGTGGTGGGAAGTGGGAGGGGGCTGATATGGGGCAGGGGCCAGGCTGTTTGGGGAGGTACAGCCTTCCCTACCTGGCCCTCCATACAGTTTTGCAATGCCGATGTGGTCCTCGGGCCAGAAAGTTTGCCCACCCTTGGTCTACAGTAACATGTTACTATCTGGTATTATTACTAGGAACGCAGTTTTAGCCTCACTGTTTTTACTTCCATTTAATATATTTCCTCCTAATGCCTCCTGGTTCTGCTCTTCCCCTTCCTGCTTCTTCTTATGCCTGATATACCCAGCGGCACTGTTTCAGTCATGCTGACACAGGTTTCATCACATTGCTTGGAAAGACTTTTTTCCTCTAATAATTTATTCACCATATTGAGTCTTTTCCCCTAAGGCAGTTCTTTCTTTACTCATCTGTCTGTTCCAATAGCAGTCAGTTCGTGACTATGCTTTACCTCTTAGAAGAAACCCCAGAGGCAGGATCATGCATATTCATAGAATAGCTTTCAGTATTCTTCTGGAGTTTCTCTACAATGGATAACAGGCATTAACTGGTATATTTTTGGGAGTGGAGTATGTATTCTGGAATAAGGTCACTTTTATTCTGGAATAGTGTCCAGACAAGAAAGTCATCCAGCAGCTGTGGTGGTCAGTTTCCCTGTGTAGACAAGCCCTTAACAGTTAAGACCTTGTCTACTCTAAAGGGGATCTAAGCTACACAACTTGAGTTACTTGAATAGCGCTCAGAGGGATAGTGAGTTGCGTGCCTTACTGAGGTAAATCCTGAACAACTGAAATCAGTTTGTGGGAGATCAGAGCCTTAGTTTAAGGTAAAAAGAAAAGGAGTACTTGTGGCACCTTAGAGACAAACCAATTTATTTGAGCATGAGCTTTCGTGAGCTACAGCTCACTTCATCGGATGCATACCGTGGAAAGGTACAAAACAAATTAGAAGAACCAAGTGATTTTATAAAATGCTGGGTTTTTCAAGATCCCAGATTTGGAGCACTAACCCTACCCCTCACCTCTATGAGGGACTGCAAATTTCAAGACAATCCGAGTCGGTGTGAGGATGTAGAGCATGTAGAATTGATTGTCTTTTAAAAAGTAATTGACTCTCAACTTTAATTCCAACACCCCACTATAACTATGGCGCCTTTAGTGTGGTGCAGTCCTGTCAAAATAAGTATTTGGTGTGTTCACTCAGCGTTGGTATTCTACTTGTTGGTTTTTTAAGTGATCATCCTTGGAATAAGTCAGAACAAGCACGTACTGTGTCATGTTTTCATGCAAGCCAGAAACTGCAGCAGTTCTTTTGCCATATTACTTGGCTTTGTATATAGTGTTAAAAACTTGCAATAGGAAAATAAGCATTCTACACTTTGGCTCCAGACATTTGGTCATGCTAATGTGTACTATGCGTATTTGCTGGCTTTCTTGCGTGGAATATTTATTAGTGGCTAAGCCAAGATTCCTTCAGTGTAATTTGGGGCATTTTTAGTGTTTTTTGATATTTTATAATCAGCTGTTATGGTTTTCTGAAGTGAGCTGTAGCTCACGAAAGCTTATGTTCAAATAAATTTGTTAGTCTCTAAGGTGCCACAAGTACTCCTTTTTGGTTTTCTCCAGGATTTTACATTTCTGCTTGTTTTGCTCCCCATTAGCACCACCTTGAAAGATCCTGTATTTTAACCTCCATCTGAGCAGTGCTGTGTACATGTCTTGCTCTCAAGCCTTTCAACCATGAGGGTAATTGGAAAATGGCCCAAGGTGTGCTCCCTCCTCTCCAGAACATTACTACTTCTGCAACACTCTAAGCTCCCGTTAGCGCTGAGAATAAGCGACCATATCTTAAACCGATTTGTGGTTTGAAACAAAGGAGTCACGCTGTACTAAAGGAAGTCCCTTTTAAATACAGAACTGTAATGCAAATATAATCAGAGGTTCAGAAATAGTGTGGCCTCACAGTGGCCTTGTTAATTGAGCCTCAAGTACCTGCTGCCAAAGTATGACTCATTGATCCAGCCTCTTGGCTGAGTTCTGCTGCCTGCATTTGTTTAAAGTGTTTCTGTGGTCTGTTGTTCATGTGGGTGGAGCAATGGTTCTTAGAGTCTTTGCCCAGTGTACTAATCAGATGTGTATTTGATTGAAAGAAGAAGGGTTTATTTGTGTAGCACATGCCTGGGGATTTGAACACCAAGTTATGTCCTCTAGAAGCCATCAAATGCTTCAAACCTGCAGTCTTTCTGAGGAACATAAGTCATTTTCTGTTTCCGCACAATTAGCAGCAAAAGGTTTGGCAAGGAGTGATGCTCTCTAATGCTTTCAAATAAAGAGATAATCCAGTTTTCCTAATCCTGTAGTTGAAGTATTTTTCTTTATAAGAGCATTTGACAATCCATTTACATTTTGGCTTCCAGACCTGTGCAGCCATATTAAAGATATCCTGTTTATAACAGCAATGTCTTCCAATGTATTGTTCAGCTGTAGGCAGGCCACATGGCTTTTCAGTTCTAAGTATAGTCTTTAATTCCCTCTTTCCTTTCCTGTTAGTGTGAGGGTCTGTACAATCGGAAATACAGTAAAAGCTGGTAATTAAAAACAAATCCTCAGATAGCTCCATATTTGAGTGAATACCCAACTGTGAAACCCCAATGGATAAAGTCTTATTTTTATTAACCATTGTCTGGCCCACTTTGCTCAACCCTAGCATGTGCTGTTCCCCATATTTCTGCATCTCCATAGACAATTACAGATAAAGTTGAGGTGGTGTTACTTGAGTTGCTTATAACTTAACTTCTTTTTTTTAATTTCCTGGACTGAAATTTAACATAATCCTTCATCTTAAGGTGATTTTAAAACAAAGTAAATGTAATTTGAGCTGCAATGTTTATTTTAAAACTTATAGTGTCGCCTTCACTGAGAAGCTTATTTTGTTTGGAAACTTGTAAAGCAATAATAAGTCAGACAGAAATAGGTATTTAACAATCGGTGCGGTGAATGCACTGTACTTCATTTATTATAATAAGCACAGTGTGGTGGTATTACTGGATTTATGCGCTAGAATAAATGTAGCTGTTTATCAGTAAGTGGACCTAGTGTCAGAATCTGCAGTCGTTTCCGAGATCACACATTGAACATATCTGATGGTAGGTCAGGCTCCCCCATGCCCTGTTACCCAGTCCCCTCTCTTCAAAGAGATCATGAAAGCCTCACCCACCCTCATTTCTCCCTACACTAGGGAGTGACCACTAAAGGACACATACTCTTCCTGGGAGGAAGAAGAGGGTTGTGGAAGCAGCAGTCAGTGCCTCTGGCTTTCCTGTGGTGTCACTAACTTAATTGTGGGTATATTTTTTAGTTTAAAGGAGACTTGGAGTTTGTGGAGGAGATAATATAAAAGTGGACCTTGAGCAGAGTACGGCCAGCTTAAAAAAAAGGGGCAACGATGGAACTGATTTGTATTTAGTATTTTAATTTAAAAATATAAACAAAAAGGGAAGAGGCAAAGATTTTTGTAAAATGCCTAAAATTAGACAGCAATGGAAATAATCTAATAGTTTGTGTAAGAAAATAGCTAATTTAAAAATGTAATTGAATCTGAATAAGGCTGTACACATAGTTCATCTATCTAACTGCAGGATCTTATACCTATTTATCTTTCTGATTCATCACCCTTTTCCCCTTCTGTGGCTTGTTACACCCACTTTTGCATTTTGTCTTAAATGGGATACTCTTTGAGGCTGGAGACTTAGTGTTGTTTTTTTTTTTTTTTTTTTGCACCTGACACAATGGGGTCCTGATTCTGATTCAGATTTTGAGTGCTACTACAATATAAATAATAACTTTCAGTGCAATGAGTTAGCAGTTCTTACTCTGAAACTTAAACTAAAATTAAAATGTTGCAGGACAGTGTGCTCCATGCATTTATGAAATGTTCATGTCCAAATTTCAGAATAAATATAAAGAATATATTACTGCTCAAAGATTATCATTGTATTAAACAGGGATCTTGGGGATCTTCTATCTTGTGACTGAATGTTCTGTGAATTTAAGTGGATGGTTTTCAATGTCGTGTTTTAGGAAGCAAGAAAAAGGAAAAGGAAAGGCCAGAAATTTCTCCTCCATCAGACTTTGAACACACCATCCATGTTGGCTTTGATGCTGTTACTGGAGAATTCACTGTAAGTATACCTGTCCTAGAGCTGTTCAGAAAGCCATAGGGTTCCTTGCTGAAGTGAGAATGTGTCACTTAAGAATAAGGTGTAAGTTAATCTTTGTTACTCTCAGTCACAAAAAGAAAAGGAGGACTTGTGGCACCTTAGAGACTAACAAATTTATTTGAGCATAAGCTTCCGTGAGCTCACAAAAGCTTATGCTCAAATGAATTTGTTAGTCTCTAAGGTGCCACAAATCCTCCTTTTCTTTTTGCGGATACAGACTAACATGGCTGCTACTCTGAAACCTGATCTCCGTCACAAGTCATTTACAATGCCTGCCACACCAAGACCTTCATTGGTCTCTAGGTGTTACTTCACTATAAATGTTTAATATTAGTCACTGGAATCCTAATGCTTTACTTTATACCACATGGGAGAAACTTTAGTGAGAATTCCTATTATCCTGTAGAAAAATGAAGTAGCCCCTTTGATTAGTTCACTTCCATTTACAATAGATATATACATAGAAAATCAGACTGAGTGATGAATGGGGAATGCTGATTTAATGTACCTCACTAGGAGAAGGGGGTGTGTAGGGGCAGGAGGCTGCGAGGAACACAACTTCTTCCTGAAGTGCCCCAGTAGGCTAGAAGACCTGATAGAGCTGTTGAATGTTTGTGCTAGCTTAACTGAAGGCTTGGTTTATATTGTCACCTACGCATGTTGAACTCAGTGACTGAAACCCCCACCACATTTGAGTCACTTAGAATCACAGATTAATGCTTACATGTGGAAAGAGAATCCATTCCAATTTTTTTTTTAAATGACTTAAAAATATTACGTATTAAGGTTGTCTCCTGTTTCAGGGAATGCCAGAGCAATGGGCTCGATTGCTACAGACCTCAAATATCACCAAGCTAGAGCAGAAGAAGAACCCTCAGGCTGTACTAGATGTGCTGAAATTCTATGACTCCAAAGACACAGCAAAACAGAAGTACCTGAGCTTCTCCGCTCCAGGTGAGAGACAAGTACATACGAGACATTCAGAAGAAGAGTTTGGTTCTTACAGTCCAGTCTGCTCTTCCCTGTACGTCATTACTTAGAATTGGGAAGATAGGCCCATGCCAAAGAATCAAACTAGTATCTAATGGGTAAGGGACACTACTAAATAAAGGCTCCACTAAAGTTGCACTCTTTGTCCAGTCAGTTTCCTGTTTCAGGTGGGTAAGAGAACAAATGCAACAGGATAATTCAAAATGGCAGTACCACTCAGCTAAAATCAATTAATTAATGGCCTGTCTTTATGACGGTAGAACTATAAGATTGATTAACTGGTTGAGTTCTGTAGGGGTTATTACTCCCATTATCTCTAGTCAGAACATGCTTTCGGACAGTTATTGTGCAGTAACTTGCATTGACTCAACTTTCCCAAATGACAGGACCAAAGATTCAGTGTAACTTATCACTTCTAATGCAAGTTGTAGACAGATGTGTGTGAATGGCTGGAAAAAACATTTGACTGTATTTTTCCAGTGTATGCAGTTCCTTTTAGCCGTTTAAATCAAAAAGATTTCCATTCTAAAAATAGCCTGGTGATAAGGGTTTGTCACATCTTTGCCTTATCAGTTTGGTCATAATCTTCTCTCTCGTATGCATATCAAAACCAATGCACAATTTGACAAAACAGTCTCAATTCAGGTGAGATCCAGTCATGTAGCAGGTCAGGATTTGAAATATATATTGCCTGACCTATGGGGGGGAAGAAGTTTTTGTAACACCTGTCTGCATCTAGTCAGGGAAGTAGGTGTTTCATTCATCAACCATGAAAATTCACCTGGTTGGAAGCAGGGAAATCTCATGAACTGTCCGTATTCCTGATGTGTTGCTCATGTTTTCTATAAAGTCCACTTTTATTATTATTTATTATTCCACTAATTATATATATTCACTTATTACTCTTCTTGCTGTTTTTAGAAAAAGATGGTTTCGCTTCAGGAACACCAGCAGTAAGTGTATTTATTATTGCTTGCACCTTTCCAGGCTTACTCAATTAGTGTTTTTCTTAATTAATTTAAATCTCATATTATATACTTCATAATAAATTGAGTAACATTTTATTGAACTGTATTTTTAACCGACGTTTCCCGCAGGAAACCAAGTGCCCAGTAGGGGGTTTAGTTTTAAGGATGTTTATGAATACTTCTGGGTCTGCTAAAAGCTTTCCATGGATGTCTGTATATTACTTAAAGAATGGTGAGAAATACTTAACATATGCTTCTAGCAACTTAGAGTAGTAGAAGAGGTAATTTAAATATTCAGATATGTCTTTTATAAAAAAGAGTTGTTAAAATCATGAACAACATGATTCTTGACTTTAGCAAAGCTTTTGACACGGTCTCCCACAGTATTCTTGTCAGCAAGTTAAAGAAGTATGGGCTGGATGAATGCACTATAAGGTGGGTAGAAAGTTGGCTAGATTGTCTGGCTCAACGGGTAGCGATCAATGGCTCCATGTCTAGTTGGCAGCCGGTGCCAAGTGGGGTGCCCCAGGGGTCGGTCCTGGGGCCGGTTTTGTTCAATATCTTCATAAATGATCTGGAGGATGGTGTGGATTGCACTCTCAGCAAATTTGCGGATGATACTTAACTAGGAGGAGTGGTAGATACGCTGGAGGGCAGAGATAGGATACAGAGGGACCTAGACAATTTGGAGGATTGGGCCAAAAGAAATCTGATGAGGTTCAATAAGGATAAGTGCAGGGTCCTGCACTTAGGACGGAAGAACCCAATGCACCGCTACAGACTAGGGACCAAATGGCTAGGCAGCAGTTCTGCGGAAAAGGACCTAGGGTGACAGTGGACGAGAAGCTGGATATGAGTCAGCAGTGTGCCCTTGTTGCCAAGAAGGCCAATGGCATTTTGGGATGTATAAGTAGGGGCATAGCGAGCAGATTGAGGGACGTGATCGTTCCCCTCTTTTCGACATTGGTGAGGCCTCATCTGGAGTAGTGTGTCCAGTTTTGGGCCCCACACTACAAGAAGGATGTGGATAAATTGGAGAGAGTCCAGCGAAGGGCAACAAAAATGATTAGGGGTCTGGAACACATGACTTATGAGGAGAGGCTGAGGGAAGTGGGATTGTTTAGTCTGCGGAAGAGAAGAATGAGGGGGGATTTGATAGCTGCTTTCAACTACCTGAGAGGTGGTTCCAGACTATTCTCAGTGGTAGAAGAGGACAGGACAAGGAGTAATGGTCTCAAGTTGCAGTGGGGGAGGTTTAGGTTGGATATTAGGAAAAACTTTTTCACTAGGAGGGTGGTGAAACACTGGAATGCGTTACCTAGGGAGGTGGTAGAATCTCCTTCCTTGAAAGTTTTTAAGGTCAGGCTTGACAAAGCCCTGGCTGGGATGATTTAATTGGGGATTGGTCCTGCTTTGAGCAGGGGGTTGGACTAGATGACCTCCTGAGGTCCCTTCCAACCCTGATGTTCTATGATTCTATGAACATATAGATCAATGAAATATAATAAACTGAATATTGTAATACATGTACTGATACTTTTGTGTCCCTCAGCATACTTTAGTTCTAAATTGCTAAGAATTCCTGGATCCTCATTCTAAAAATGCCTTAAAACTCATAAGCTGATTAAAATTTTTGGGAAGAATAACAGCTTTGCTTGTAATATATTAATATTTTATTTCCATGTTATTCCATTCAATAACAAAAATATAGCCCAATGCCAAAGGTTCAGAGCCCTCAACAGCAGTAGCAGAAGATGATGACGATGATGAAGAGGTTCCTCCTCCGGTTATTGCCCCTCGACCAGATCATACAAAATCAGTGAGTATTTTTTTTTAATTTACTCTGGAATTTTTGCTTTTTTTTTTTTACATTACTTTCTGTTCTGTCTATTGCAGGTCCCTGCCCACAACAGATGGGGAAGTTTTTTATTATTTGCAAAATGTCACTTTATGTATATTAGTTTAATTTTAGAGGTCATGTTTTTTCCTAGGTATAGCTACCTCTCAGGTACCAGTTGGACCAGGAGTATCCAAATCAGTGCTATATTTTGCAGGGCTACATTGAAAAAATCCCAAATTTATTTCCTCATCCTCTAAAACACATTATAAGGAGGATCATTAGAAAACTTTACCAATGCCCCTAGCAAATCCCAGATATTGTGGATAATGTATATTTTTAAAAAACTTAAATTCACATGTTGTGTGCCTGATTTTTTTTCTATTATCCCATCACAAAAAACCCTCTGCATTGTAGTTAAGTCTGGGAATTTATTCCACCAACAAGATTATTATTAGTACTAAATTTTATGTGAGAACTTAAACACTTAAATTCTTAGTTAAGCTTTAAGCACCATTTTTAAGTCCCCCCCAACCTCCCTCCAGAGGACCCCCCCCCCCCGCTCCTATAAAGGCCAAATGTAATCTTCTCTTCCCTCTCTGCCACTGTTGCCTTGCTTTGTCTGAAGGGTAGGTATGGAATGTATACAAAGTTCACAGAATATTGCTTTAAGGAATAGGCCACATGATATTTAAATAAGAATATAGGTGGAACATTACATGTCTAAAGATCTGTAAATATTGCCACATTAGCAAGTATAACTGTCAATTTATGTAATTTTTCAAATGATGAACAGTTAGGTAGTTTAGTTGACACACGTGAACTGTCTTCTGCTCCCCAAGACCGAAAGATTTGGCTGTGCAAAGGTATCTGCTGCATCTTCATTTTAGTATAGCTTGCTACTTCACAAAATCTCCTTTCAGATGATTTGTGCCACTGTTAAATAAAGAGCAGTTTATGATGGGTGGGAATCATATAATGTGAGGAGAGACTGAAGAAATAAGAAAATGTACAAAGGATGAAGGGGCAGTTAAACCCTAGCCTCTATTCCAGCATATGGTGTAATAAGGAAGTCCTGTTAGAGAACAAATGGGTAGAAAGCCTTCCCTCCACCCTGCAAAAAAAGTGGAGGTTAGACTACTGTGCTTAGTAATGTTTGTATTTCCAACTAAGCTTTCAAATTAACAGTTTATGGAGGTGAGTACCAGACTCTTTAATTCATGCTTCTGCAGTGTTTGAAGAGATTTCCACCCAGTCTGGCAGAGCAAAGCAATGATGTACCAATTACATTGTAGGACAGCTTTTGCAATGAGTCCCCAGCTGTAGAAAAGAAGCTAGAGGCAACAGGGATCCCTTTCCTGAGTAAATAGACCCCTAGCCATCTGCAGTGTCCAGCAAGTTTCCAGGTCAGTGTTTCAGAATCAAGTAGTGTTGCAGCCACATTGGCTAGTGTTCAAAAGCAGCAGTTCTCAGAATGAGTGGCTCCTGGTTCCAAAAGTTTTAAGTGAAACAATGCTAGTGGTCAGATAAGAATTTATGGCACTTTTGAACCTGAAAGTCAGTGGTTGCAAAGAGAACTCTGAGTTCTAATAGTGAGTGTTCTTCTTTCACCACAGATTTACACACGGTCTGTAATTGACCCTATCCCTGCACCAGCTGGTGACTCTTGTGATAGTGCTGCCAAGTTGGCTGACAAGCAGAAAAAGAAGACCAAAATGTCAGATGAAGACATTATGGAAAAGCTACGTGAGTTGTAATTTTTTTTTAAAATACAAACTCCAGTATTGATGCTAATTATCAGTAATTCCATTATTTATATGGGAGGGGTCTGTGCAGACCTGATCAGCACATTGCTTTGAACTGATAATACCTATTGGAGTCTGTTACAGAAAAGACTGCAGATATCAAATCAGCATGATGAATGGTCTGAGGCTATCACAAAACAATCTGTACAGATGTTTGGTTGCAGTTTCTGTTAGCCAGAAAATGGAGACAAATGACTGTCTTTTGACTAAGCCATCATCCCCGTTTTTCATATAAGGGTGATGTAACCAAAAGACTTGGTTATTTTCTGTCATCTGCTAGTTGGGAGGAACTGTATTCAGGCATCTGGACTGGTCTTGAAGAATGGAAATTAACAAGTAAACAAAATTTCCCCATTTGAAGCTGTTTTAGGGTCAATGTCGCACTTGTGGCACAGTGATCAGCTTCTACGGAGGTGTTCCTTTTAGTGCAGAATACAGTGGATTTTTGCTGTTCCTAATTCCATAACCTTCATAGATGCACTCATTCAGCAAACCAATGCCATTGTCTAGCACAAAGCAGGCAATGACTTAGTTTAGATAGGCAGTACAAATACTGGATTATTACTGATTCATCCCACAAATGTGTTACAAGTCACAAATGTCATACAGAAGAATATAATTTAATTGTATAAAAAGCTCTGTTTTTATTACTATAAGAATCAAAAGAAAAAAGCACACATCGTACTCTAATAAAAAGTGAAGAATGCTCCCTTAAATCACTGGTTGGCTTTATGTTTTGTGTGGAATTTTTTTAGGGACTATTGTGAGCATAGGAGATCCCAAGAAAAAATATACCAGATATGAAAAAATTGGGCAGGGGTGAGTATTTGTCGAGCTATCCAAAATTTTTCACTGAATGAACTAGTATTAAAGGTGTGATGTACTCTTGTCCTTTTGCCGCTATTTATTAAAGCAGAAATGTCCGTGTACAAGCAGTAATAATCAGATGCAGGGGACTTCAAACAGTGATAGAAGTTTTGAATCTGTTCCTTTATGGGACTCTGTGTGTGCATTAATGTCTCTTTGGAAACAGATCACTTTCTGGTGATACTGAATGGAAATGAAAATGTATTAATTTAAGTGAACTTTTGTCTCTTTTCTCTTCTTCCCCTTCATGAGATAAACTTATCTGTTCTTTTAATGTTATGACTAGTGAAAAGCTGAGGGTGATAGAATTCAAGTTTTTCCTAACCCGGTCAAGGTGCTATCAATCTAGTGTAATTTGCTCTAGGTATTTCCATGAATCATTTCAACATAAAAGTTCAGTTGAAGGATGAATACTGGCAGAGCTTGCATAATTTGTTTTAATATAAATGTTGTTCTTACTGTGTTTGCATCCCCTCTAACAATATTTTGATATTTTGTGTGTATGTTGGGGATTGAGGGGTGAAATAGAATCCCCTTTAGAACTGACTGTCTGATTTATCCAATATTTGGGAATAGCACAAGGTATAGGGTTTTGCATACACTGACATGCAAGAAAAGTAGTTTTCCTGTTACTATGGAAGAGGCTGGTCCTGTGGTGACTAGTGTGCTCTTTCTGAGCTGGCTGGTATTTGTATTTAGTACTTTTTTATTTGAGTACTCCTTGAATGCCCTTCTTTCTTAAGAATATAGCTGCTATACTGGGTTGGACCATGGTCCATATTGCCAAGTATTTTGTTGCCAACAGTGACCCATTCCAGAACTTCAGGGAGAGAGTACAGAACAGGGTAATTAGGGAGTGATCCACCCCGTCTTCCTCTCCCAGCTGCTGGTGACCAGAGGTTTAGTGTCGCCCTGAAAGCATGGGGTTGCACTCCTGACCATCTTGGCTAATAGGCATTAATAGATCTCTCCTCTATGCACTTATCCAGTTTGTTTTTTTTATCCAGTTACACTTTTGGCCATCACAACATGCCATGGCAGTGAGTTCTACAGGTTAGTTGTGCAAAAAAGTATTTCCTCTTGTTTCTATGAAACCTGCTTGCTGCCTATTGATTTCACCAGCTTTCTAAAGGGAAATCAGGCCTTGCCAACTATTAGAATTCTTTGAGAAAGTCATCAAGTATGTGGACAAAGGTGATCCAGTTGATACAGTGTATTTGGATTTTCGCAAAGCCTTTGACAAGGTCTCTCCTCAAAGGCTCTTAAGGAAACTAAGTAGCCGATAAGAGGGAAGGTCCTCTCATGGATCAGTAACTGGTCGAAAGATAGGAAACAAAGGATGGGAATAAGTTATCAGTTTTCACAATGGAGAGAGGTGAACAGGAGGGTTCCCCACCTATCTGTCCTGGGACCTGTGCTGGGTTCAACGTATTCATTAATGATCTGGAAAAGGAGATGAACAGTGAAGTGGCAAAGTTTGCAGATGATACAAAATTATTCAAAATAGTTAAGTCCAAAGCAGACTGTAAGGAGTTAGCGGTAATCTCTAAAAACTGGGTGACTGGGTAACAAAATGGCAGATGAAATTCAGCATTGATAAGTGCAAAGTAATGGACGTGGGGAAAAAACAATCCCAGCTATACATAAATCTGTATACGTGTATTTATATATACGATGGGGTCTAAGCTATTACCACCCAAAAAAGAGCTCTTGGCGTCACAGTCAATAGATCTCTGAAGATTTCCACTCTATGTGCAGTGGCAGTCAAAAAGAACTATTAGGAAAGAGAGAGAAATTATCACAATGCTACTATATATCCACAGTGTGAACTCATACCCTGAATGCTGTGTCCAGCTCTGGTCGCCCAAAAAGAAATATGGTGGAACTGGAAAAGGTTCAGAGGAGAGCAGCATAGATGCTCAAGGGTATATAACAGCTTCCTTTCAAGGAGAGACTAAAAAGATTAGGACTATTCAGCCTAGAGAAAAGATTACTAAAGAGGGATATGATAAAGGCCTACAACATCATGATGAATGATGTGGAAAAAGTGACTAGAGAAGTGTGTTTACCCTTTCACACAATACAAAAGCCAGGGGCCAGCCGATGAGATTAATAAGCAGCAGGTTTTTACAAACAAAAGGAAGTACTTTTTCACCCAATGGGCAGTTCCTGACAGTTTTTAGATGTGCAAAACTTAAAAAAAAAAAAAAAAAAAAATCTGTGATCTGCCTGTGCATGTATATCCTTGTTAGATTTGAAATCATACAGCTGATCACTTACCTTGTATTCACAGGGCTTCAGGTACAGTTTTCACAGCTATCGACGTGGCAACAGGACAGGAGGTAGGATCTGTGTGCTCTGTATGAATATTTTCCATTTAAATCTGCAGCTATGGGTGACGGATTGAATTGGATAAGGTTTTTTTTACCAGTGGCTCCCATCTCTGGCATTACTTCTCAGTAGAATATTTGTGATAGTCATTTGTAACAGTGCATTCCTTGTTTTGTAGGAACCAGATGATGAATACTAAATATAGGATTTTGTTTTTCCAATGAAATGCAAAGGGACCAAGATGTTCAGAGTTGTGGGTTTTGAAAGCCGTTTAACCTCTACGTGTTGTAGGCAATATTGTCTTGAATTCTGACCAATAATTTTGCGTTTAGCCTTCTACATAGCTTCATCTGTGACCATGATAGTCTTGCCCATAAGGAAATTGCTTCTCACCAAACAATGCCTTCTATTTTAATTAGCCTACCTTCTCCATATCCTGTTCCCAGATTCTTCCCATTGATCACACCCATACCACCTGGCAGACGTGGTGGCATCATTGTCATCTACAAATTGTTCGTTAAGCCTTCACCATCCTATTTGCTTTGGTGTTTTCCTTCAAACATCTTTTACTCCATGGGTCCCCTACAACTAAAATTCACAATTGTTGGCTTCTTTCTAAAATCATCTTTTCTTTAATTGCTTTACCCATCAGCTCAGTCAGTCTCTCCTTCTGCCACCACCTCCTCTGGCACCTGAATGTTCATTTTGCTAATAGCTGAAATGATCTCACCTACAGTTTTTCCTCTCACCTTTATAGCTGTTGGCTTCTTCCTCTTTTCTACCTCTTCATCCTTAGAGTAACCACACCCTGGATGTAATGAGTAATTTTCCCCTGTACTTTCCTTTACCTGTCTCACACTAAGCACTTTTTGTGCTTGTCCATCTGTAACAAAATCCCATACCTGGATTCAGTTTTTCTAGCCCTTCTTTACTTCCTGTTGGAGACAACTAACTCGCTGTACGTTTTTCAACCAATCTACCCTATAAAAATGCTTTCCATTGCCGATCTCTCCAGAACCCATGGTACAATAATAGCTCAAATCTTTAAGACCTCTCCCGCACCCCCACCCCAAAAAACACCCCAAAACAAAACAAAAAAACTAAAGTTCTGGTACACCAAAATATGCAGTATTGTAATAATCACAACAAAATATGACATAGCTCCTCTCCCGGGTTTCCTTCTGATTTCAGCGATACTGTTGCTATTCTGTAATCTCCAGTGTCACTCTCTTGCACTGCCAATTCAGTCCTTCACCCACTTGACATCTCTTCTTCTCTGAACAGAGCTTACTATTTCTTCCACTCCAGAATTGCATCTGTCTGTGGTTATCACATTGTCAGCTTTTCCCTGTCCCTTCCAGTAGCACTACCAATCCTCTGTGTAGTTCCCATGAAATCTCCGGTGCCAGACCATTGATCCAGCACTTGATCACTTCCAATCTCTTTCCTCCCTCTAGCAGTGAAACCATCTTTCACATGGCTTCCTCATTACTTCTTTTACCTCAGTGCAGCATTTAGACAGTATGTAGCTGCCAGCTCTAAAAGCTATTTTAGCTCTGGAGGGGATGACACATCAGACAGTAGACCATTCCTTCTCCATCTGTCTTAATTATAAAACATCTACTTCCAGCTCATAGATGGACATGGTTCTTGGCAAGAAGAATACCATAGTTATTAATGGTCCAACTCATTCCTCTCAATTTCTCAACCTTGATCATCTTTTCAGACTTTATGGCTGTAATTTTGAAGTTGTCACCCCACGAAGCTCCTCTTTGTTCCTTGTCTTGCTATGTTGTAAAAGTTCACCTCTCACCTGTTTTATCAACATGTCTGCCTTTCTCTCATCACTCACTTTATTGAATCATTCTTTTGGGCATTGTCATTTCACACCTTCATATTTTCAGCTCCTTTTGCCTCACAAACGCACTTTTATCCAAATGCTAGTCTGTTCAGAACAAAACATATAGAGAAAATCCTATTGCCTTCTCCTGAAAACCTTGCACTGGCTATCACTTGTATCCACTACAAAATCACTCATCTTCAAACCTGTTAATAGTTTCTCTCTTGGCTCTGATTTCATTTCTGTCCCCCAAACCCTTCCTACATAAGAATGGCCATACTGGGTCAGACCAAAGGTCCATCCTGCCCAGTATCCTGTCTACCGACAGTGGTCAATGCCAGGTGCACCAGAGGGAGTGTACCTAACAGGTAATGATCAAGTGATCTCTCTCTCCTGCCATCCATCTCCACCCTTTGACAAACAGAGGCTAGGGACTCTATTCCTTACTCATCCTGGCTAATAGCCATTAATGGACTTAACCTCCATGAATTTATCCAGTTCTCTTTTAACCCCTATATAGTTAGACCTAGCCTTCTGAGGCAAGGAGTTCCACAGGTTGACTGTGCACTGAGTGAGGAAGAACTTCCTTTTATTTGTTTTAAACCTGTTACCCATTAATTTCAATTGGTGGCCCCTAGTTCTTATATTATGGGAACAAGTAAATAACTTTTCCTTATTCACTTTCTTCACACCACTCATGATTTTATATACCTCTATCATATCTACCCTTACTGTCCTCTTTTCCAAGCTGAAAAGTCCTGGCCTCTTTAATCTCTCCTTATATGGGAGGCTAGGACTCCACTTCTCTCTCTTCTGATCTGCACTGTGTTGGAAGTGACTCTTTTGCTGGCACTGCATTTCCTTGACTGTGATGGGGTGATGTTAATAGTGGTGTAACTGCCAATGGAAGGGGAATTAACAGCAGGGAATGCAATTAACAGGACATGCCTGTCACATCACTTCATAGTTTCCTGTTCTTTTCCTGCCATTACCCTATCCTTTGCTTCCCCTCATGCTGCAAGCTACTTCTGCCTGCACCAACACTGACTTTCTGATGTGTAATTATATCACCATTTGTGTCGCTTCTGAATTTGGCTCACTGTCTGGAATAGTCATGCTGCCACTTTATTGACTTGCTATCCTTTTTTATAAAATACAGCTCCAGTCCTACCTTGTACATAGCTTATAGCCAGCAAGGTGTTGGACAGTTTGACAGAGCATCCCTTGTTACTACTAACCCACATGCGTTGTCTAGTCCTCTGTTCTAATCAGCCAATTCACTTTTACTGCAATATTATAAATGTTATTTAGTGTTGCAACGGTTTGGCACTCAGGTTTGTATGACTAACACTTCATCTTGTATTTTACCCTTTCCCCTTGTTTTCAGGTTGCTATCAAACAGATAAACCTGCAGAAGCAGCCCAAGAAGGAGTTGATTATTAATGAGATCTTGGTAATGAAAGAATTAAAGAATCCCAACATAGTCAATTTCCTAGACAGGTAAATGCAGACAATCGAACCGTTAATCTTCCTTCTCCCAGGAGTCCGGATTCTAACCTGACATCTTCTATAATTCTGTGATCACTGTGGGTACTTTTCCACTGCAGCTGGAAGCATGCGTCCCAGCTCCGGCAGACAGACATATTAGCTTTGCTTGAGCTAGCACTCTAAAAATCACTACAAATAGCCAAGTGGCGAGTAGCACAGGCAGCACATTGTGCTAGCCCCTGAAATACAAATCTGCCTGGCCCCCTGTGCACACACTCAGGCAGTACTGTGAGTATTTGGTTTAAGAGATCGCCAGGCAAAAGTCAGGTATGTTGCAGGGCGTAGGGCTGGTGATTCAGTAAGTAGCATTCTTTTCTGATTCGGTACCAAACCAATATCCCAAACTGGGGTTGGGGAGCTGCTGGAGGTGCTGTTTTAGATGATATGCAAAGCTGTAATTCTGACTTTTTAGTCAACAAAGATCTTTCGGCGTTTGGCCCCAGCTTTTAAATCCAGTCTGTCTACCTAAAAACGTGTTTTCCTAATTGATCTAAAACTCATAGAAATGTAGGGCTGGAAGGGATCTCAAGAGGTCATATAGTCTATCTCCCTGCACTGAGGCAGGACCAAATACACCATACCTGGCAGGTGTTTGTCTAAACTATTCTTTAAAATCTCTAATTTTGGGAGTTACACAACCTCCCTTGGTAACCTATTCCAATACTTGACTATCCTTATAGTTAGAAAGCTTTCCTAATATCTAACCTAAATCTTCCTGTCTGCAGGTTAAGCCCATCGCTTCTTGTCCTACCTTCACTGGACATGGAGAACAATTGATCACTGTCCTCTTCATAGCAGCCCTTAACGTATTTGAAGATTATCAGGTCTTCCCCTCAGTCTTGTTTTCTCAAGACTAAACAGGCCCCGTTTTTTAACCTTCCCTCATAGGTCAGATTTTCTAAATCTCTCACCATTTTTGTCACTCTTATCTGGATTCTCTCCACTTTTCCACAATGTTTCCTGAAGAGTGGCACCCAAAACTGGACATAGGACTCCAGCTGAAGCCTCACAAGTGCCAAATAGAGGGGGACAATTGCCTCCTGCGTCTTGCTGTTAATATACCCCCAAAATATTTCCCCTTTTCGCAGCTGCATCGCATTGTTGGCTTACGTTCAATTTGTGATCCACTATAACCCCAAGATCCTTTCCTGCAGTACTATTACCTAGCCAGTTATTCCCCATTTTGTATGTATGCATTTGAATTTTCCTTTTTAATTGTAGTACTTTGCACCTGTCCTTATTGAATTTCATCTTGATTACAGATCAATTTGTCATGGTCATTTTGAATTCTAATCCTGTTCTCCAGAGTGCTGGCAACCTTTCCCAGCGTGGTGTCATCTGTAAACTTTATAACATAGTCTCCACTTCATTATCCAAGCCATTAATGAAAATATTAAATAGTATTGGACCCATGAGATAAGTCCTCCTAATTTGACAGTGAACCATTGATAATGACTGAGTACAGTTTTTCAATCACCACACACCTTAGTAATTTCATAGACCACATTTCTCTAGTTTGCTTTTGAGAATATCATGTGGGACTGCCAAAAAGCTAAAAAAGATAGATCATGTCTACTGCTTCCCCCCCATCCTCTAGGCCTGTACCCCTGTCAAAGGAGGAAATTAGGTTGGTTTGGCATGATTTGTTCTTTACAAATCCATGTTGGTTATTCCTTATCATATCCTCTAGGTGTTTACAAACTGATAGTTTAATTATTTATTCCAGTATCCCTCCAGATTTTGAAGTTAGTCTGACTGGTCTATAATTCCCCAGGTCCTCATTGTTCACCTTTCTAAAGACAGGTGCTGTGTTTTCCCTTCTCCAGCCCTCTGGGACCTCACCTTTCCTCCATGAATCCATTTGATTGCTAATCCTAGAATATCAGGGTTAGAAGGGACCTCAGGAGGTCATCTAGTCCAACCCCCTGCTCAAAGCAGGACCAGTCCCCAACTAAATCATCCCAGCCAGGGCTTTGTTAAGCCTGACCTTGAAAAACTCTAATGGGTCCATGATTGCTTCAGCTACTTCCTTAAATACCCTAGGGTGAATTTTATCAGCCCTGTTGTGAAGTATTCTCTTGAACAGTTGCTGCAATACACTGTCAGTCATTTATCAGTCCTGATTCTCCACTCCTGGCAAATGAGTTTATTTCTGTATTTTCTGCCTTTAGTTTTCTTGTAGGTGATGAATTGTTTGTTGTGATGGAGTACCTCGCAGGAGGGTCACTCACTGATGTGGTCACAGAAACTTGCATGGATGAGGCACAGATTGCTGCTGTTTGCAGAGAGGTGGGTGTTATGTTTCTGTGGGTACGGGGTGAGAGTGCAATCTTCTTCCCACATTTACATTACTCACTAGCCACTGCAACAATTGATTTGATGTCCAGCCTTCATTTAACTTCTTCGCTAATAATCGGAAAGAGGAATTAAGCAGCTTTCTAACTAATGTCGAAGAGGATATTTAATTGGAGAGAATTCTACTGACTGTCTAGTGATGTCAGGGAAAAAATATGAAGATGAGATAAATAAGTGCAGAAAAATAACAAAATGAGTAACAAAAAAATGCAACTTAAAAGATCTGGGGAAAAACAATCCAAAGCTGTGGGAGGGAAACCAGTGATGGATAGAGCTGGCTAAAGGTGACAGCGGAAAGCAAATGAGACATGATTTTGCAATGCAACATGGCAATAAAAGCTGATGGAGTTTTGGGCTGGTATATAGATACCTCAAATCATGGAGCATTGGGGTAGGAGTGTCCCTTTCTATTTGGTACCTGGAATATTATGTTCATTCTAGTTACCATTTTACCAGAAAGATACTGACAGGCTGGATGGAGTTCAGAGAAGCACAGCAAAAAGTTTCAGGTGGCGGTAGTGATTCACTTTCAAAGAAAGATTTGAAGACAACCTTACAGATATTTAGCAGGTGTAAACAATAACAGGGAAATCCATGGTTGTTTGAGTGTGTATATAGCCAAGAGTAATGAGAGTGAAAAAGTGGGCTGAATATGTAGAAAACCTGAGCTCTGTTACCCTGTGGAGTAGTCTCCAAGGGGAAGGGGTGGAATAGCTATCACCGGGAAGGCTTATGAATAGACTGGGTAAAACGGGATACCAGAGGGTACAACCCTACACTGGCATGGCAATGGACTGGATGGTTGAGTATGTTTGTTCTCTCTCTCTAATTAGTTCTGTGGTCCATTCAGACATTAAATTATGGAAGGACGTGCTTTCTCTGTTCAGCTATTTTCTGAAAAATAATTAAATAACAAAAAATTGTAGCTGTGATGATCTTAAGATGTGTGTTATCAAACCTGGAGACTTAAAAATCTACCTGACATCACATCCCAACAATTTCCCTGAGTTGGAATGCAAGAGTCCAGCACAAACCCAATTTATTGTCGGGGTAATTATATTATCTACCCTGCATGGGAAGGTTTTAAAAGCCCCTTAGCGTGCATCAGCTGGGCATCTGCTTAGATGATGCACTGCAAGGGATGGGCTGGGAAGCACGCTCATACGTCAAAGTGTGGATAGGTAATTATTTCCTGAGGAAACCAGAGCTGCTTCATATGCAAATAGAGGATATAATTAAATGCAAAAGTAACTACTTACAGTAAGATCAGGTGTGAACAAGAATGTTTTTTTTTAGCCTATAAAGTTTTAATAAAAATAAGTATACTCCTGCTTAGCTATTTCCAGTTTGCCATCTGTTTTAACTAATTTGCAGTTTTATTTCCAGGAATCTTTTTGCCCAGTTAATTTGTCTTCAATTTTTTGGCCTTTCCAGTTTCTTTATATTTATTGTTCATCTTGCTGCAGCACCTAAAGGGTCTGTTCACAACCAGAGATGGACAAATCTTTAGGAAGAAATAGTCCATGCTGTAAAGCGCACTTTCCCAATTTCATCTGAGAATTTTCAGCAAGGCCATTTCAAAATAAAACTCAGCTTTCTTTTCCAGTTGCAGTACATAAAACACTTTCAAAGCAAACTTCTGAGGCTGAATTCCTAGCCTCGGTTCTTGTTTTAACAGTTAAAATCTCTAATGATGGCATTAAAATCAGACCAGTAATTTAAACCTAAATTAATTCTAAAGCACTCTGGCTTACCATCATCAGCTTAAACTAATCTAAGGTTTTATATCAATTCAGGCTCCTTGACAGTTTTTAAGGATTTAAACCAATTTAAACTAAAATAAAGCAAACAAAGAAAAAAACCTCAAAACATAATAAACTGGGACAGTGGAGGGTCTATTGAGGGAGCTGGAGGGCTAGCCACTAGGTCAGAGGTGGGCAAACTTTTTGGCCCGAGGGCCACATCGGGGTTGCAAAACTGTATGGAGGACCGGGTAGGGAAGGCTGTGCCTCCCCAAACAGCCTGGCCCTCTCCCCCCATCCGCCCCCTCCCACTTCACGCCCCCTGACTGCTGCCCCCAGAACCTCCGCCCCATCCAACCATCCCCTGCTCCCTGTCCCCTGACTGCTCCGACCCCTATCCACCCCCCACACACACACACCACCACTCTCCGTCCCCTTACCATGCTGCTCAGAGCGACAGGAGCTTGCAGCCATGCCATCTGTGTTCCCTGGCAGGAGTGGCGGGCCAGAGAGCTGGTGGCGCAGTGCGCTGAGGCTGCGGGGGACGGGGGACAGCAGGGAAGGGGCTGGGGGGCTAGCCTCCCTGGCTGGGAGCTCAGGGGCTGGGCAGAATTATCTTGCGGGCCGTAGTTTGCCCACCTCTGCACTAGGTGATGTATTAAGCAGTAGTTATTCAGGGATAGGACAGTGTTCAAGGCAATCTGTAAAAGTCATGCCTATTCAGGAAACATTTGTTGATTTTGAGAAGTAAGATCAAGCCAAGTTTTAAGATTATGAATATGTAAAATCAGCAAGAGTGGGCTCTTGCTTGACTCACCTTAAATCATTTCAAAGCTAAAGCTCTTCAGAGCCCAGCTATATTCTTAACTCCTTAGATTTTGAATAAATCTAAAAAAGAAAAGCAGGCAAAAAATTTTAAGCTGTTGATTTCAAACTCAGCTTCATTTCTTGGTCTCATTAAGATTATACTAAGTTAGTAAGATATTAAGCTAAGTTTAAAGAAAATGGTGGTTTTTAAAATGATCTGTCTAGATGTCAAATTCAAAGTTAAATTGTCTCCAGTTTCCAGTAAATTGAAACTTAATACTCTGCATTTAACTAGCTGCCCATGAATGAGTTTAAACTTACGGTTAAAACTTACTTAAAACTGTGCACACCATTTGACTTAACCAATATTTCTACTGCCCAGCGTGTAAATTCTGAATACTCATGACTGGTAAATCAAAACCGCTTTTCTAAACTGAGCATATGTATTACTTCTCAATAAGGGTTAATTTGTGGAAAGTTTCAAACCCAACTGTTTTGGTTGCAGCCTTTTAAATAAATATAAATTTTTTTTACAATGAGGAAGAATGTAAGGGTTTTTTTTACCTTTGCTGAACTCAAATAACTGGAGGGATTTTCCTCAAATAATACCTTTAGGCAGAAACCCAACATGGAAAATTTCAGCCTAAAAAGTAAATAATTGAGAGGCCTAGAATCATGTAAAAATTTTTATAAAGGAAAATGTTTTGCACCCTTCCTTATAGCAAGCACTACATATATTTAAGAGTGAAGCATCCTCCTTATAGCGAAACTCTACCAAAGGAAACTGATCTCAATAGTCAGGATTCCCCAACAACTGGAAAGCTCTGAAAAGTAACACTTAGCAAAGTGAAAGTGCTTTGGAACTTTGGGAAATCTTGGATGATGCCTGGCTAGTGAGCACTTTAGTTCAGTTTGCAATTCTGTAATGGCAAGGAAATAGCGTATTCTCTGAGGTTAAAGAAGCAGGTTTTGACCTCAGTGAATTTTGGATGGGAATAGTCTGGTTTCTCATCATGAGAGCTTCCTCCGCTGGATATTTAAAGTAATACCTGCTACCTTTTTACACATTGCATTATATGCCCATAAACTTTGCTTTTTGATTCACAACACAAACTGTATTTGCTTTTGCTAAATGTTTTCCTTTTCCTCCTCCCCTGTACAGTGTTTGCAAGCACTAGAGTTCCTACATGCCAACCAGGTAATCCACAGAGATATTAAGAGTGACAACGTACTTTTAGGAATGGATGGATCAGTTAAACTCAGTGAGTGCCAGACAGTTGTTTCAACCTGCTGCTTCTTTTTAAACGTTTTGCAATGAATAGTATGTTTGTAAGCGCATAGTTGTCACAGATAGTTGAGATGAATTTTTACTAATAATCAGCAAAGGAATTCATTCCGCTTTGCAAAAAGAATTTTGCCCACTATAGTTGGTTTTGTAATTCTGAGCATCTGAAAGTTACTGACTTCGAGTGTATCAAACAAGAAGGATGTTTAAGTAACTTATCACATCAATGCGTTTGTAAATGTGAGTTAACCTGCAGTGTAAAGTGAGATAAAGATACAAGGATTGCCAGTGAGGGAAGCTGGCAATAATCGGAGCTGCCTTATTGGCTCCTTTCAGATTGTCAGAACTTGCTCCAGATGCTTTTGCACTGTCCATTTAATTGACAGGATGAAAATTACACATTTGTATTTCAGTACTGCCTAAAGGCTGCAAACCAGGTAGGATCCTATTGTGCTGGACACGGCACTTGTCTTACTTTTAACAGTAGTTAAAGAAAATTAACTACAAAGGTAAAAATAATGTTAGAGATTGGGAAAATATTTTTTGTTTTCAGCTTTTTATATTGTGCATTTGACAGCACTTATTATGCATTTGGTGGTTGTGTGCATCTTTCATACAGCAAGTGAGGAAAGGAAAAAAAAACTTGAAAAATTTAGTGAATTTAATCTCAGTTGTTGTCAGGAGTGCTTAGGGAGAGGTGCATTGAGATTTACACACTGAGCACTTAAAAGTTTGCTAAGCGCTACACAGATGCCTAAGAAGACATGGGGTGACACTTTGAAAGCTGCTTTCTGGATTTGAACACCTGGGAAATCTACCACTGTTCCCTGTTCCAAGAGCTTGTAGTCTAATTTCAGTTATGATACATGGGAGAGCTCGTAAACAGTAGTGGGGAGAGGTAAACAGTGAAACATAATGGGGTTACTCAAGTACATTAAGTGCACTTCTTAAGGGTATATCTGTCAGATTTATAGGGCTGTGGAATTTTTGCTTTGTTTACAAACCAATTATTTGCAGGCTACTTTCCTAATGAGGTGACAAGTGAAAGGCAGTGGAAGGTGTAAGTGGGAGAGATTGAATGGAGGGAGGAGAGAGGATTCTAGCAGAGGATGTGTGAAGAGGAAGGATTTAAGGAAGGACAGGTTGAAGGTGAGATAGGTGATAGGAACAGGTATGAAGAAGAGGTGGTTGTTGAAAGAGGGGAAAAAAGGGGGATCAGCAGAGATGGCATGGGGGAGCAGGGGAAAGTAACTATAGAAACTTGCTAGCTGAAGCAGGTGGCTGTAGAATCTGTTGAGGTTAATGGAATCTGTAATCCTTTATTTGGTGAAGGAGGCGTGGGCTATTGCCCACCTCACAACCCACTGGGAGTATCTGTAGTGAAGATGGTGGCAGGTTGACCTGGTCCATGGGAGGTGGCTGATGTGCACTCCCATGCTAGGAGAAGGGGCCTGAGCAGTCTTGAGGGCATCTCGGCGCTCAGGATGGTACGGTGGGTGAAGGTATCTTTTTTTTTCCCAATTTTGCTCTCTGAAGAAGCTGACAGTGGGAGGCCAGTGTGAATGCAATGGGGATCCCCAGGTGGATGAAGAGTGGATGGGCTTGGTCTCCTTGAAACACCTTTCCTTGCATAGTCTGCAGAGGCCCACACCTGCCTTCTCCCTGCTGGTGTTGTGGAGGCTAGAAGGCTTTTCTGGGGCACCCAGAGTTTTTAATAGGCTGCCCTGTAAGAGAGCTGCTGCTTCTGTCACATTTTTTAAGTCGCCTAGATTTCAGGTTGACTGTGACCCTTTGAGCGAATGTAAGTGAATGATGCTATAGACCTAGAGGGGAAAGCCTTTATGAAAGAGTAGCAAGATGAGCTACTGGCTGCTATTGCTTTGGAGACTGGGAAGGAGATAGATAGTAGCTTGCTAAACTGCCCTCAGGCAGCAGTTAAGATTTTCAGGCATGAAACCCATTTGTCAGCATTATCTGGTACTAGCATTTAAAATGTAGGGAAAGGCATTTTTAAAGTTTGAAATCCTATTTCTCAAACTAATATAAATCTTAGGATAAACCCTGGCTTTTGCTGAGATTGTGTCCTCATTGGTGCTCTCCATGCCTGAAAAGAAGTGGGAGATCTGCAGGTTGGACAAAGTAGCAGGGTGGAATACACACTGAAAATGCATTGTTGATGCATTCCATTCATTCCAGTAAAAATAAAGGGCCAGATTTTCAAGAGATTTTACATTTAGGTACTAAAATAACGGCCAAAATTTCCAAAAAGCATCATAGCACATTGGTGTTGAGCTCTTTTGAGAATAGGCATACTTGTGGCACCTTAGAGACTAACAAATGTATTTGAACATAAGCTTTCGTGGGCTACAGCCCACTTCATCAGATGCACAGAATAGAATATATAGTAAGAAGGTGGGTGTGTGTGCGCACACACACACACACACAGAGAACATGAAAAGGTAGAGTAACCCAGCCACTCCCAGTCTCTATTCAAACCCAAGTTAATGGTATCTAGTTTGCATATTAATTCAAGCTCAGCAGTTTCTCATTGGAGTCTGTTTTGGAAGCTTTTCTGTTGCAAAATTGCCACCCTTAAATCTTTTACTGAGTGGCCAGAGAGGTTGAAGTGTTCTCCTACCGGTTTTTGAATGTTATGATTCCTGATGTCAGATTTGTGTCCATTTATTCGTTTGCATAGAGACTGACCTAATCACATTAGCCACTCCATCAGGGGCTCGTTCACCTGCATATCTACCGATGTGATATGTCATGTGCCAGCAGTGCCCCTCTGCCATGTACATTGGCCAAACCGGACAGTCTCTACGCAAAAAATCTCTTCGGGGAGGGATAGCTCAGTGGTTTGAGCATTGGCCTGTTAAACCGAGGGTTGTGAGTTCCATCCTTGAGGGGGCCATTTAGGGATCTGGGGCAAAAATTGGGGATTGGTCCTGCTTTGAGCAGGGGGTTAGACTAGATGACCTCCTGAGGTCCCTTCCAACCCTAATATTCTGTGATTCTACGCAAAAGAATAAATGGACACAAATCTGACATCAGAAATCATAACATTCAAAAACCAGAAGGAGAACACTTCAACCTCTCTGGCCAATCAGTAACAAACTTAAAGGTGGCAATTTTGCAACAGAAAAGCTTCCAAAACAGACTCCAACGAGAAACTGCTGAGCTTGAATTAATATGCAAACTAGATACCATTAACTTGGGTTTGAATAGAGACTGGGAGTGGCTGGGTCATTACACATATTCAATCTATTTCACCATGCTAAGTATCCTCACACCTTCTTGTCAACTGTCTAAATGGGCTATCTTGATTATCACTACAAAAAGTTTTTTTCTCCTGCTGATAATAGCTCATCTTAATTAATTAGCCTCTTACTCTACCTTTTCATGTTCTCTGTGTGTGTGTATATGTGTGTGTGTGTATATACACACACACACACACACACGTTTTCATATGTTAAATATACACACACACATCTTCTTACTATATTTTCCATTCTATGCATCCGATGAAGTGGGCTGTAGCCCACGAAAGCTTATGCTCAAATAAATTTGTTAGTCTCTAAGGTGCCACAAGTACTCCTGTTCTTTTTGCAGATACAGACTAACATGGCTGCTACTCTGAAACCTGTCTTTTGAGAATGTGGCCCTTGGTAAATCTAAGCTTAAAATGTTTCATTTTAAAAATGCTCCAAACCCCAAGTGTTTTAATTTTGAACCATAACTTTTTACCAATAATAGTCTGATTTAAAAACAAAAATCCAAAAATTTAAAAAAAAAAAAAAAAAACCTGTTCCCCATTGCAAAGTCTTTATTTTGCTGTGTCTAAGATCTGAGCTGCTAATAAGAAAATGCACTTTTCCAGCCAGCAGATGGAGACCTTGAATGAATCTATATAGAATGAGTCTAGCTTGCTCTTCAGTTGTTTCCTTATCTAGGTGATGGCTTTGTTCCTCTAAGCTTTTTCTGTGGAATATACTTTATAGTAGCTTCATATATCTAAAGCCTCACTTCCAGACCTTTGTTAACCATAGTGCAATGATTCAGTAGCTAAACCTGTGATTAAAATACTGAAGTTGGTAAATACAAAAATAAATACCGAAATTATTTTTGTATAGGGTTACCATATTTCAGATTCCCAAAAAGAGGAATGATGGGAGGTGATGGAGGGGATGCCCACTGGAGGTGGGGAAACTGTCATGGTGGCAGGGCAGCTGGCACAAGCCCAGGACACAGCGACAGCCAGCAGTCAGCGCCTGCCTGTGAGATCCTTTCACAAGGAAGGAGAGATGAGACCTGGGTGGGTGGGGTCAGGCAGCTATGACTTGTAGGGGAATGGACCAATCAGCTGAGGATGCAGGGGAGGGACCAATTAGGGCTCTTTCTGAGCTCTGCAAAAACCTGGACATGGCTGTTACTTGAAAATCCTGCCTGGGCAGAAAAAGGAGGCTCAAAAAAAAGGCTCTGTCCAGGAAAACCTGGACATATGGTAACCCTATTTTTGTACTGGGACTGGAGCCCAGTCTGATGGTGTCATCCTTTCGGGTTCAGGACCATTACATTACACAACATAGTATAAAGTCTATACCAGTGCACAAAAACGTTTTCACATATGTTGTTGGTCCCTTTTTGTTGGAATTCTGGGTGGCTTGAAGAGGGCTTAGACAAAACATCACTCTTTTATAGGAGACCACGAGTTACCTTTATAAAAAAGAACTTAATTCTTTAAGTAGGATTTTATTTGTTGTAGGCTATATTCTTCAGTGTTTGTATCAGCTTGCTGGTTGGACTTTCTGCTGTGACATGAAAAATATAGGAAAACTTTGAGATTGCAAATATACAGATGCAAAAGATGTTTCTATAGTAATAGAAAAATGTGTAGTTCGATAATTGGGGCTTTGAGATGGGATTCACAGCAGACTAGGATGGACTGAATTAACTGTCATTAACTAATTCCTTTATTATCATGCAGCCGACTTTGGTTTTTGTGCTCAGATCACCCCAGAGCAGAGCAAGCGCAGCACCATGGTTGGGACTCCCTATTGGATGGCTCCTGAGGTGGTCACACGGAAAGCCTATGGCCCTAAAGTGGATATCTGGTCTCTGGGTATCATGGCTATTGAAATGGTGGAAGGAGAGCCCCCATACCTCAATGAAAACCCTCTGAGGGTAAGATATTTCATCCTTTAGGAGTGCTGCATCAATCATGAATATAAAACAGTGGCTCAGAAATGTGAAGAGATTTGGGACCTTTAATTTACAGATTACAGGTTTGAATCCAAACCAGGTTAGAAGTGTTTAAATGGTTATCAGCTGATGGCTGTTTAGTACAGTCAAGGCAGTCCCTAATAGACAGGAATCTACATGAAAAAATCAAGGGTAATTAGTGCAGGTAGCTCTCAGTATAAAGGAGGATGATCTAATAGACATGGAGGATATTACCCTTTCACCCTGAGAGATGGTCTCTCCAGAACATGGTTGAGGCATCTTGACAGTACCTGTTTTTAGTTAAATAGTAGAATTCATATCTGAGTACTGACAGTCTTTTGCCAGCAATAAACTTCTGTAGGCTCAGAAAAGTAAATCCAATTAAATTACAAAGAACAAAGTACAAAGCGTGCTCTTTCTCCTTATATAAGGATATGTTTATTATAGTGTCCATCACCGTAAATTCTTAAGTATCTATAGTCATCTTGTTACTAACAAAAGCAAGCGACAGTTGCTAAAGCTGTGCAATGCCACTCTTACAAGCATCTACCAATGTGAGGAGAAGCAGGTTGTATTCCTTCTACCCCTCAAGACTCAGGCCATGTCTACACTATGGGTGCTACAGGGGCACAGATAGGCTGCTATGGCGCTGTGGATACGGGTTTACCATCGCTGTAGGAACTCCACCTCCCTGAGCAACAGCAGCTAGGTTGACTGAAGCATTTGTCTGTCAACCTAGCTGTGCCTACACTGGAGAGTTAGGTCAGCATAGCTACAGCACCCCGAGAATGAGCTATGCCGACCTAACTTAAGTGTAGACCAGGCCTACTGCATTGCCTCTAATATTCCCAGCCCTTAATGGAGAGATGAGTTCAGAAGTTGTGCCCAAATATTTAACCAAATCAGGTATGTGTAGTGTTAGTCTGTCCACAGTTTCACATAGAGCAACGCTCTTTATCTCAGCATCCTTGTGGTGGGAGTCTGTCTTATGGGCTGCTCTTATTCCATAGTTGCTCATTGACATTGTTTTGTAGCACGAAACCTGCCCATGTATACATTTGTAGGAGCTAGATTAGTGGTGAATAGTGGTTGCAAAGTATACAAAGGCATACTATACATACTCAAATGAGGTACCCTGCCTAGGTCCATCATGCATATTCCTGTTTTATCATCTTAAGGGGGAGACTTTTGAGAATATATGTGATAAAGTCTAAGTTTACTTCCTGGTTGTTTTACATGATTAGTATAATGATCATAACAGGAAAAAAGAAAAATGACATTTCAGTACCTGCATCAGGCATCCAAATTGAAGATTCAGCGAGGAAACTTAATTGTCATATGCTAGTCAGTGTCTGCTCTGTCAATCTCCTTTCCTTTTTCCATTCAATAAATGCTTCTTCTAACTTGAAATACTAATACATTGCAAATCACATTTTTTAGAATTTTAACTGACGACTTTGGTGTAATGACCTTTTTCTCTCTCTCTCGGTTTGCAGGCTTTGTATTTAATAGCAACTAATGGCACACCAGAGCTGCAGAATCCAGAGAAACTGTCCCCAATATTCCGGGATTTTCTAAATCGTTGTTTAGAGATGGATGTAGAGAAAAGAGGATCAGCCAAAGAACTGTTACAGGTAAGTATATGTATGTTGGGGTCTTCCCAAAAGCTTGAAATTCAGAGGTCACTAAAACTGTAGTCAGCTAGTGCTGACAGACGCTTGTCTTTGTCTTCCTTTTCCTACTGAAGAATCATTTAATGGGGAATAGTGGGAGGGAAACACAGGAATCAAAATTTGGAACACAAATGTAGATGATTCTTCTACTGAAATCACTATTGGCCGCTTTTTGCCAGCGGTGATTCTTCAGTGACACCACAGCTTAGTTAAACAGAGAGGCTGCTGTAGCCAGCACAGCAAACACAGAAAAGGGTAGAGGGAGAATATCAAAAAAAGGAATATCTCTGCATGGGGAAGGTTGCTGGAAAGAGGACGGCAGGGACTAGCCAGGGATATTGGATATTGCTATGTGGAGGAATAGCTGTCAACAAATCTGTTCTTCTATGGGATCATTCATTGGGCATATCTCCTTGAGGTGCTGCATATTGGCACCTTTGTGAAGTGCTTTCTTAACTTGGATAGAAAGTGCTATGTAAATACAATAGTTTGTTTTTGAAATTTGACTCTTACTAACTTACTGTGTTTCTCTGTTCCTGGCAGCATCCTTTCCTGAAACTGGCCAAACCTCTGTCTAGCTTGACGCCATTGATCCTGGCAGCCAAAGAAGCAATGAAGAGTAACCGCTAACATTGTTGCCATGGCCTTCATTTTTTTTTTTTAAATCTTTATAATATATGAAAATTGTTACTCGTTAGGAGGGGTTGAAAAAAGTCTGCAAAAGGGAAAAACGCTCACCCAGAAGACACTCGAAATGAAATATGGTGACTTTTAAGTAAACCCTTTTTAGGGTCTAAAAGGAATTGTGGACTGAATCACTGGTCTTTCACCTCTTTTGCAGACAGGCCAGGAATCTTGCTTCCCATGCCTGGGGTTTTAAGTTTTTTGATGACTTCGCTGTAACAGTTCCCATTCATTGTGCCCTCTTGGGTACTTTCAATACTTGAATGACAGGTTCAAGCTTTTGGAGAGAGGCATTAATTTTATCTGCTGATCTTTCCTTCTCCTCCCCTTTTCCTGTCCTCTTTCAAGTTGCATTGGCCATCTCCCGTATGACTAGATTAACAGCAGGTGTGACAGAAATGTGAAGGTACATTTTACCCCTACCCCCTTACCATACAATTTAGCTGTGACTGTACTGTAGAATTAACGACTCAGATACTTAAAAAATTAACTTTAAATGAAATCTGCCTGTAAGTAGAGTATAGGGAGAGGGGGAAGAGAAGAGTTCAGCTGTCTTTCTGATCTGTGGCTGCTCCAGGGACTTCTAATCCAAGAGAGACACATCTCAGTGTAGCAAATTGTGGTGGGTCAGGTTTTGGGAGGTCAGCCTACACATATGAGGAAAAGGGAGCAGATGTTTGAGGAAAGAAACGCGCCCCCCCCCCCATTGTTTGGTTCCATTCTCCACTCCTCTCTCCCCCTCCCCTCCCCTCCCCTCTCCCAAACTTCCCTAGACTTGTTGGCCAAGGCAGAAGGGATGTCTTGTGTGGTGTAGCGGTTGGTCTTAAAACCAAGTGTTGTATCTATGCTCTTACTTGGGCTATGGGATTTATGCTGGTGCCTTTGACTTTTTTTACATTTCCCTCCTTTGTATCAAATGAATTTTTGTATATGTTGTAATTTTATTCCCAAAAGCAAATAATGCAACAACCTTGGAGTTGTCAAGATTTAAGTATTAGAGCTATTTTTTCCATTTTTATATGTGCTCCATTTCTACTAATGAAATCAAAAGAACAAATAATTCATCAGAGCTGAGGAAAATGAAGATCCAAGACTCTTTTTTTATAATTCAAACAGGAGCTTATGAACACCTGGGAACACCAAAGTGCTGTTCTATGGAGAGACAGTCTGAGGCGGGAAAGTAGTTTCACCAGACATGAAAGGGGCTTACTGGAGTGGCTGATGCATGACTGGAGAGAGTCGTCATGTCAGGATGACCCCTTCTCCCTAAAGACCTTTTACTTGCTAGGATGGCAGAAGACAACATTTAGTGCAAGAAAAAAGTGCTTTCCTATAAGAGCTAGTGAGTAACTTGAGTTGTTGAGTTCTTGAGATGGTGCCAACTGAAGTAACAGTAGAAACCATAGAAGTATCCTTGGTCCCTGATTTCAGCCACTGAAATTGCTGCATTTATACCTATAGATTATTTTCATAAGGATCAATTTGTAACTGTAATGTGCCAGACGATGCACATGAAAGAATAGCCACTAATTTGGTGCTAAGCAGTTGTGTTGCATTCCCAACTGGCAGTGCATGTCAAGCAGAGAGAGTCCGGGTCCTGGGGTGAGATGATTCCATTTGGTGTCTGACAAATTGCGTAAACCAGAGTTTGACACATGTTCTTTTTACTGTGGGAAGGCTATTTTCTTCTGTGTACGAATAATTTCAATATTTATATGCGGATAGAAATGGCTGTTCTGGGTTTTGGTAACTGAGATATAGCTCTGCCTAGAGCACCTGAACAAATTATCTTTCACTTCCTGAGCCTATATATCATGGATTTCATTCTCTCAGAACTTATCCTTCAACAAATTGCACTAGCAAATTGCTGTGTGCCAACAAGATACCTTATTCATGGAGGAAATAGAAACACCACACTTCAGTCTGACTTCTTGTAAACACTAGTGCAGGGGTGGGCAAACTTTTTGGGCCGAGGGCCACATCTGGGAATAGAAATTGTACAGTGGGCCATGAATGCTCACAAAATTGGGATTGGGGTGCAGGAGGGGGTGAGGACTCTGGTTGGGGGTGCGAGCTTCAGCGTGGGGTCAGAAATGAGGAGTTCAGCGTGCGAGAGGGGGCTCCGGGCTAGGGTGGGAGAGTGGGGTGCAGGGGGGAGGTGAGGGCTCCGGCTCGGGGGGTGCAGGCTCTGGGGTGGTGCTGGGGATGAGGAGTTTGGGGTGTAGGAGGGTGCTCCACACTGGGATCGAGGGATTTGGTGGGCAGGAGAGGGATCCGGGCTGGGATCGAGGGGTTGGGTCGTGGGGAGAGGCTATGGGGTGCAGGCTGCGAACGGCACTTACCTCAAGCGGCTCCTGGAAGCAGTGGTATGTCCCTTCTCCGGCTCCTATGTGGAGGCACAGCCAGACAGCTTTGCATGCTGCCCCGTCTGCTGGCACCACCTCTGCGAAGCATGTAGGAGCCGGAGGAGGGCCATGCCGCTGCTTCTGGGAGCTGTGTAGTGTGGCCCCCGACTCTGCGCCCCGGCTGGAGCGATGGAGTGGGGCCATTCGGCTGCTTCCAGGAGCTGTGTAGAGCAGCCCCATGCCCTGTGCCTCAGCTGTAGCGCTGGAGCAGGGTAAGCCCGAGACCCTACTCCCCAACAGGAGCTCAAGGACCAGCTTAAAACGGCTCATGGGCTGTAGTTTGCCCAGCCCTGCACTAGTGTAACAGCTACCAAGCTGAATTACTTTAACGAGAAGAATAAATCAAAAGAATACGCAGCCCACTAGCCATAAAGCACTAGAATGCTTCATTCCAAGGAAGTGTCATGTCATGGGCTGAATACTCTAGATCTGCTTCCCCTCTTACAAACTTTTTATGTACTGAAAGCCATAAACAGTAGAATGGCAGTGGCCTGGTTTCAATACATGTGACTCAAAGTGAAAGATTTTCCTGTCCATAGGGAGAAGCAAGGAGTACTGGATTATCTTTTCTTTTCTCATCAGTGGCTCCCTGTTTGTCCATTGCTGGCAATGGACTTTGTGAAAATCAGACTCCTAGTGCAGCAGTATAACTTGGCTTTCCTTGCGCCTCTGCTGCGTGCTACCCCCCCCCCCCCCACGCCCAGGTAGCAAAACTTAGTCTACCATATAAATATAATTTTTTTCTGAAATTAGCAGGTAAACTTAAAATCATGAAGTAATTTTAACTTATTAATTCAGTCTTATTGATAAAGAAAACTTCCTTCTGATCTTGCAATAGCAAATCTGTCTAGATCAGTATCTGTATCTCTTTAAGGGCTGACTTCTAAACTTTTAATTCTTTTAAAAAAATAAATAAAAAATAAACCTCAACCAGGAGTTACCAAAATGCATCCTATTGCTTCTCATGTGGCCTAGAGTACTGTGAACTACAGTTAAAAAGCGCACAAGAGTGCCCCTTGTATGTATATGATTCTACAATAAGGTTTCTTTTGCTCCTGTTGCCAGAAGGTAATCAGGACAAAGGAGAGAGGTCAAGGAAAGAGCAGAAATATTGGGAACATTTTAATTTCTGCAGCAAAGTGAGGGAAAATAGTTAAGTAGAGTCAGTAAGCTGGCAAAAAAAGTCATAGGGAAGTTGCTGCTCTGTGCTTCATTGTGTAACCATTGTGCAGTTTGCATGTCAGTAGGTTGGCCATCAGTCTTCTAACTGAACATGTTACATATGTCTTCCAAGTGTCCATTTTTCCCATGAAGGACCAGGTTAGAACTGAGACTAGCTCATTTGTTCTCCCCAGCCCAGATGAATAACAAGTGCAGGTGAAGAGAGAATAGTCAGAGTTTGAGTGGATGCCGAAAGCAAAATACCGCTTCGGAACATGGCAGAATTCCCAGATCTCTAGGTAACCGCAGATGACAGGCACAATCACAAATATGCATATGAATAAATGCAACAGTGGCACAACACAATAGTTAGTCGGGAGTAGAGATTGGCAGCGTACTGTTTTGAAAGGAAGTGAACAGGCAATGTTTGTCTTCTAGGATTTTTTTAGCACAGAACTTGGAATAAACCTGACTTCTCACCAAGTAGACATGCTTGCTCACACATGAGGTCACACATTCCCATCTGAATATTCACTATACAAGTAGATCTGTGCTGAGTAGTTGCAAGAGATGTGCTTCACAGCACATCAGAGTAATTGAACTCTGCTGTCAGAAAAGGGTGGAAAATCAAGGATACTGTTAAAGGTCTTTATAGCTGGAATTGAAAAACCTCTCTGGTCTGCTTTCTCTCTCTCCTTCGCTTTGCCAGATGGAAATGGATGTAGGTTCAAGCTTTATTTTTTATTACTGTACGCAGATTTTAATGTTTTCTTTTGTTTAATTTAATCTCATTCTGTTATTTAATTGTTTCTGCGATATTAACTACTGTATTTGATTACTTTGTTTATTAACTTTGTTCTTTCAGGGCTAGAAATAAACTTTTTAAAATGTTTGTTTTTCCCCTTTCTGAGTGTTTTATCTTTTTAAGATCAGAGTAGTGTAAAAGTAGTGTAAAAATGGTTAGATATTTTAAAGGGTTTAGGGGAATGTTCTCTGTTTGTGTAACTTTGAATTTAAGCGACAAATGTAAATTGTTCATGCACACTTCCGTTTCAGTATGATTTTTATTTTGAGCTGCATCTCAGCTTAGTTATCCTTTGTCTTCAAAATCTTCCTAAGCAATGATAACAGCAACACCAGATGATAACTGCAGGCTTTTCTTGCTACTGAGCTCCATTTGCAAGTCAGTCCTGCCTCCAATAACCATTCCTGACTGTTTGAAACCAGGAGAGCAGATCTGGATTGTCTTCCCATCTCTTAATGGAGCAGATAACTAACAAGGTCTTTCCGGGAGGCTGTTGCTAAAGCAGCACCAATAGTAAAGAACTGACCAGACTGTCTGCACAGCACCTTCCAAGAGAGCACTGTAAAGTAGTATTTTGTTAGTGATGGGATTTGGAATTGACAAGCCAGTAGTCATTGATCGAGCTGCTAGCAGTATGAAGTTCCAGTAAAATTATTCCTAACGAGACTGGAATATTGTTTTATTAAAAATTTCCTCAAGTGCCACATTTAAGTGATACACAGAATAGAGTACAAGAAGTATGGAACACAAATGCTACCCTTTCGTCTAAACAGACTATGATCTTCTTTGATCAGCTTTATGCTAGCATTGAGAAGTCTTCAGGAGTCAATGACTTACCTGGGCTTTGGTACTGGATCAGAAGTGCCTGTTGATAGACTATCAGGATTTTCTCTTTAGTAACTGTTTATCAGTACTGAAGTCTGTCACTAAGAAAAGGACAAATAAAGTGAACCTTTCTAGGGGCCAAGTTTCGTTTGGTTGAAATCTGGATGAAGTTTCCATTGTTAACAGTTTTTCTGCTGTGAACATCAAGGATGCATCATGCATATCTCCATTACTGCCCCCTTTCTACATACTTCAGGAAATAGCTTCTCTCCCTTCTCAAATGTCCAGTCAGCAAGCGAAGTGTGGAAACAAGTGGTCTTCCAGAAATGTTTACACCCTCAAAACATTGGGGCATTGGATTGTGCAGTATTCTGCCTATTCAGATGATTTATTTTCCTTATCATGGTAGCTTTGGTTTTATGTATGCAAGACCCCTTGTTCATTTCATGTTCTTAACGTTGCATTAGATCTTGAATTTAATTTTAGGTTTTTTAAAAATTGTGTAGAAAAACTGCTTGATAGTATTTATGTAATCTATGTGGACATTAGAGTTCATGTCTCATTAAGGAGAGCTAGACTTTGTCTGCATAGAAACTTGCACTCTTGTTTCAGTTTAAGTCCTTTATAAACCCATTTCTTATTTACCGGGTGAACCAAAATAAGCCTGGTCTAAACCCAGAACAATCACATCCACAGAGCCTTTTGCATCTGTTTAACTAAATTTAAATTTTCATATTAAGTTAAACTAGTGCAACCCTGCATGCAGAGAAAGCCCTAAGATTCAGGGGCAATTGAGTACCTACTTTCATTGTGGCAGTTTAGCTGGAAGGAGTTTCCTACAGGGCTGATCTGGATCAGCTTTCATTTTTGTCCAAGTGTTGGCTAAGATGATAGGAAATGGTTGTGGATTTTTTTTTTTTTTTTTACTTTTCAGTTTATTCAAATCTTTTATTTTGCTTTTCATGGAAGCATCAGTGCCATTTAATGTCCCACATCAGCCTAAAATTGGCCATATGCCTAAAATAAGTATTTAAAAATAATTGTTGCAAATTTTGACAGCCCTAAAGATAAATTCAGTGTAGGAGAGAAACTAGGGTTGCTAATTTACCTCTGTCTTTGGAAACTGGGAAAGGCAAGTGAAAATACAAAGCTTTGGTTCATTGGGAAAGGCTGAAAAAACTCATCTGTAACCTGCATATTTAGGCCTTTTGCGGGGGGGTCCCAGATTATCCAGAGTTGTGAAAGTGGGAATCTGGCTGATAAAGGTTCCCACTGGGTCCAGGTTTCCAGTACAAGTGTACAGGTGACTTTGATTCATTGCTCTCATTCAGATCAATACCAAAGCTACTGTTGATTTCAATGAAAATGGGAACAGGGCCATATTTATCAGGCTTTGAGCAATAATACTTCAACAAATGGAGCTATCCTGGACTGCTTCCCAGATGGTTTTGCCTTTGAATTTCAGTGCACTCAAGTTGTACTGCGTACCTGGTTCTGTAGCGTTTCCTGTGCTCTAACATGAGATAGGAAACTAATTGATGCTATAGCTGTCGTTTCATAATTTGGTAATTATATTCATTGTTTCTTAGTAACTTAATGTATTTCCAAGTCCTCCCTTGAGCCTGAGTTAAATGCCATTCAGTTGCAGGATATGACATACACATTATTACAGGTTAGGTATAGGACATAGCTTTGAAGGCCTCAATGTGATTTCCTAAGCCTGGCTTTTAAAGCATGCTCCAAGGTAGTTTTACTTTTAAAACAAACCCTTCTCATTCTTGCCCATTTCATGCATTTTAAAAGGAACAGATGATTGGACTTTTACCCTTTCAGTCTTGGAAAAGTTTTGGCATAAATCCTCCCTCATTCTGCTGGTAAATATATTCTTCTTGCTGTAAGCTAGGAAGAAATGAGGGAGTTTGGCAGGTTGCTAGAGTGGCTGCTTTTTGTAACAGTGGTTAAAAATGTTTGTTTTTAAGGATCATATATTAACATCAGCTCCCTACGGCGATATCTACACTGGAAAATTGAACCAGTGCAATAGAAGTGTTTGCTTTGAAAGTGTTAGGTCTTTCTGTGCTTTTATGCTTATGGCAGGGGTGGGCAAACTACGGCCTGCGGGCCGGATCCGGCCCATCAGGGCTTTGGATCTGGCCCGCAGGATTGCCCCCCATGGTGCCACAGGCCCCATGCCACTCTCAGAAGCAGCCGGCACCAAGTCCCTGGGGCCCCAGGGTGGGCAGAGGGCTCTGTGAATTGCCCTTGCCTCTAGGCACCGCCCCTCGCAGCTCCCGTTGGCCGGGAACAGGGAACCACAGCCAATGGGCGCTTCTGGGGAGGTACCTGGAGGCGTGGCAAGGGCAGTGCGCGGAGCCCATGTCTTCCCCCCTCCCCTCCCCAAGGGCTGCACAGGGATGTGGTGCTGGCCACTTCCTGGAGCAGCGTGGTGTGGCCAGGGCAGGCATGCAGGGAGCTTGCCCTGGCTCCGTGCGCGCTGATGCCACCCCGGAGCCGCTTTAGGTAGGCGGCCCAGGCCAGAGCCCCAACTCCCTGCCTGCACATTGCACCCCTCCTGCACCCCAACTCCCTGCCCTAAGCCCCCATCGCTTCCTGCACCCCAACCCCTTGCCCTGAGGTCCCTCCTGCACTCCGCACCCCTCCTGCACCTCAGCCTCCTTCCCTGAGCCCCCTCATACACCCCGCACCCCTCCTCTGCCCCAATCCCTTGCCCTGAGCCTGTTCCTGCACACCGCACTCCCTCCCGCACCCCAACCCATTGGCCCGGCCCTGTATACAATTTCCCCACCCAGATGTGGCCCTCGGCACAAAAAGTTTGCCCACCCTTGGCTTATGGTGTTGAGCTGAGCGACTGTAGCATGAGTCAAAAGACACCAGACTCCATTACTTAAGGAGCGAACTAGGATGACCTCCAGGTTCCTACCAGGAGTTCAGCAGTTTGTTCCTCCTAAAACAACGTATCCTGGTCCAGTCTTGTAACTGGAGAATCAAGAACTCAGGTCAGCTCAGCTGCCTGTGTCCTCTATAATGGTGTAGACTGAGCCAGTGTTCATGCTTGCTGAATAGTATTTGGTACACACGTACTCCAGGACGAGCACTTCTGTGTGGGAACATGGAGTGTTTATATCAGTATGTCAGCAGGATCAAGGGGTTCTTGGAACGGTAAACTTCTCTAGCCTAGACACAGACTGTGTGTCTGGAATATTAAACCCACCCTGTTGTGTTGGAACCAAGATTCAGACAGATTGTCCTTCAGGACATATGTGACAGATTCAGATGTGGAAAAAAAAATCTTGTGGGCACTCTGGCTCACCACTCTGCCTCCTGCTCCTAAGGAAGGGGTCATTCTGTAGCAAAGCATTCAAGTTAATTGGTGATGGCAGAGTTGGGGGAGGTCACTAGCTGCTGAGTCCTTATAAGGAGTGTGGTTTTGTCCTGAATGGTGGTTGTGGGGAACATCTGTTTAGGGGAAGTGAATTATTCTGATCTCAGGAATTGTCTGCTCTGGACTGGCCTAACCAGTAGTATGCTACCATCAGAATCCCTTTCTCTGAGCTAAGGAATAAGTTACTACTTATCTGTACAAACAGTCTTTCAACCTTCTCTATTCAGACACAATGACCTGCCCTTTATGGTGGTAAGCCCGGATCTCCTGCAATCCTTACTCATGGGGAGCTCCTTTGACTCACGAAAGGAGTTTTCCCTGAATAAGAACAACAGGATTTGATGTGTGGTGTGTTGTTCCAGCTGGAACTGCCCCCTATACTTCCTGGTGCTTTCTCACCTCCTCACAGGGCCTCTTGACAGGTTAGCTGGGTTTAGTTGGAGATCAGCCTGGCTGCAGTATTGTGAGCTTGAAAAGCTTATGCAGAGAACCCAGTATAAGAGGCTTTTCTTTGTGGGGAGGCCTTCCTTAGAACCCCCCAAGCTGGCTTTCTGCCTTTCAGGGGCCCAGCCCATGATAGGGAGATTGCACTGTCCCATACTTTGAATACAAGAATTTCTAAAACAAGAGCACTGTGCTGCTGCCATGATGGGTGCCTGGGTATTAACAGACATGAGGGGAATGCCTGGCACAACACATGCTTATTTCAGCAGCAGTCAAAGGTGAAAATAGAGGGACATAAGCATTCTTTCTGCAAACACCGGTGTGGGGAAGAAACCCAGGGTGGCTGTTTATATCTTCACAATTAACTATTGTGCCTTCATTGAAAAGAACCCTTGTTTCCTTTCCACCACAATAA